TCAATTTTTTCAATAACAAAAGAATGCATATATTTAAATGATTACATATAAAATGTGCACAAATAATTTGCAGTACATATTTTACATATTCTTCGATGTTTGAAAATTGTTTTATAGGCATAATTATACAACCTCAATTACAACATACATGATCTTTAACATATTAGAAAAAAATATACAGCAATAAACGCTTAATTCTTTTGATATGATTCTTATAATTGTCGAATTCACACCTTCATTCGCACTAGTATTGCTACCCTTCATAATGAACAAAATATATTGAAGGAAAATAATAATACCCGACTATAAGTCAAAAAGTACAAGCAAGAACAGCAAGGGAGCGTGAGCGCAACCACCTATACCCATACATCATTACCTCGTATATGAATGGAAAAAATGATCATAAAATGATAATCTTTAAGCAATATGCATCTACGAGAAAATTCATCTTTAAATGTCAGACTCAAACCTAATCTGCAGGTTTAATGAAACAAATGCTAAACAGTTTTTAATAAAGAAATCTACTCCCTGTTTTCGACATCTATGCAAATAAAAAGAAACATACAACAATACTCAATTAGCAAACTTGTTGAATACTATTGAAAAAACACTTATTTAATATCAATTGTAAAAGAATACGTGGTGTCATTGTTGGATGTAATACCTATTACAAACAAAACCTAATGAGCATACAAGTTTGGTACATAAACAATAGTTAACATATATTTGAAACCCATTAAACATCAATATTAATTTTTATGGAAAACACATTTAACCACTATTTTGACTACAGTTCGAGTTCAAAAACAGATTTGTTGTCTTTCAATTGCATATTTTTATTTCAATATCGTTTCAGAATATATTGCATATTATAAACGTTAATAAAAAATTGCACGTTATTTTCGTTTGATCTGTTTTCTTTGTCGTTTACTCTGGAAGTATCAAATATATCATCGCTTGGCTACCTTTACCTACATCCAACTGGTAACCTTTATACAACCTATATTTTCTAAGCTACCTTTACCTATACTAAATTGGCTATATTTACCTTTTTCTTTAATTTCCAGTAAAGTGAAATCAGCTTTATCTAAAATTTCAATGTTATAATGAAGTTTTGATGCAGAGAAATAGCAATAATAAGTAAAATTATTTGTTTCTCCACCGCAGCCATTTTACATTATTAACATGGTATCTTATCATTATGAGGTACTTATGAGAACGTCCTATCATATGCTAAAAATACTCATACAATAAAGACAATCCACAAAACTATTAATATCACACTGCAAAACGTACGTTTTCGTTCTAATATTAAAGCACCAAAGTAATAACATTGTACACTAGTCACATCTGAACTCTAAAGATACTTAAGCATACACCGATATTGAAATAACACATCGTTCGACTGCTCTCCCCTTAATCAAATGAAGAAAACAAAGTCAATTTTTAAATATATCTTTTTACCCTGGTTACCTTTTACATACAAGTATTACCTTCATAACAAATAAACCATACTATATTATTACCCCTCACTTTTTTCGTAATGCTAATTTCCCATAGGCCTCTGGGAGTTATTTTTACTGTTAATGCAGGTGTACCACGTGACTAAGAATTTTGTACTGTTACATAGGTAACAGTATTTTTTAACAGTATAAAATCTGGTCACGTGGTCTATTTTCTAAATAAAATGGCCGCCATTTTTTCTCGATTCATTCTTATTTTCGTCGTTAAACCCCGATAGGACATCAATTTCTTATCTGGAGTATCTATGACACCCATAAAATTTAGTAGTTCGCACCCTGGTGTGCTTTTCGTGTATAAAATATCTTTTTGTTGAATAGTCAAAAAGTGAACATCCGTTTTCAACGGAAGTACTTGCAATGTAAATAATCAATTGTCAAACTGGAACATGCAGACGATTTAAGCATGCAACAAAGGATTATTTAACAATTTTAATCAGTGAAATGTTACAGAGATGGTGGACAGACATAGGATATCATCGTCATTTGCTAAGAATATTCTGGAAACAGAAGGATCGATTCCACAGATCATAACCGTGTAAATGGGTTAGTGTTTTGTTTCTAAATAAAACCTAGCTTATTGTATGTATATGATTTGTAGATATCATCACTTGCATAAAGAATAAAAGAAAAAGAAAACTTCTCAAGTAGGCCTAAAGTACACTTAAAACTTGAAAGGTAAGGACAGTTTAGTTATTATTGTTACTCTTGGTTTATTTTTGTTACAGTTAGATTTAGTTGAAAATTTCAGATCACCGCAGTATTTTTGTTCGGGGTAATAAAATAAATAACACATGGGTTTGTGAGTAACAGTAAAAATATCATCCCTCGTAAAATACTGTTACCCTCGGCTACGCCTCGGGTAACAGTATTTTCTTCGGGATGATATTTTTACTGTTACCCACAAACCCATGTGTTATTTATATACTGTTACGGTCATTTGCAAAGCATCAAAAGCGTCTCTTTTCTTTAAGAAACTTTTATTTAGTTGTTTTTCTTTAATTTCAATGTCGGTGACTATAATTTCTTTTTTAAGTATCATTTTAGTGATTATCCTGTCAGTGCTCTGCTATGTGTCCTGTCCTGTTTTGTTTGGGATCCTTCTGGAGTACTTGTCACTGGTTCTTGTTGCTGTGTGGTGTAGGGGTTGCGTTCATTGCCTTTCTTTGTTGATGCTGTTCATCATATATTTACACTTCACACGGAGAAACAATCTAAAACTAAAACTCAAAATGTGCCTCGGAAAATATTAAATTTTCACTTTGTTTTAGAAACGGCAAACACGAGTTTTTATAATGTTTAAATAATGGTTTAAATAACGGCTTATTTAATTTCTTATCTTCTGAAAAAGGTAGTACGGAATGTAAAAATATTTGCTGTAAAAGTAGAACAAAATTTCAAAGTAATATTTTCACTGCCATACAAAATACCTAATCACTATAATAAATAGCAAAAGAAGACAAAAAGAAATACAAGCAAAAGATAATTTAAATAATTGGCCAATGAGTAACTTCTTGGATACTGTGACGTTTTTAATTTGCTTTGTTTTTCGAAAAAAAAAAATGAATAAAAATGAGTTATTGTTACAGTCATGACGGCTTTACCGCACACTATAACCGTGATCATATCTTTTTTAGTTTTTAGTGTATTGTCTTTACATTTAACCACAACAACCATAGGGACAAAACCTTCAAGTAGACTAGACTAAACTGGACTTTCATTCATAAATAACCTTGACGTCCATATGACCTTGACCGTCAAATGATTTAATTATGTTGTCTTTTATTTATGAAATTGAAAACAAGAGAAAGTTTTTTGTTTTATTTTTATTTGTTTACACCATTTATGTGTTTTTAGAAAAAGTAAAAAAACGTCGAGCATTGCAGCCACCACCGCCTCCATCCGGCGGTGGCTCTTGTTTTAAACTACCCGAACTGCCAGTTTATATGTAATCTTATTTTGAAAACGCATTGACAAAAGACACACTTTATTGGTTGTGTTTTACACCGTACCAAAACAGTACTGTATAGGTCATATAGAGGAGGACCTCGTGTGCCCTTTCGTGTACTGTTTCAGACACAAACGTGACGAATGAACCACCGATGTTCCATAAAGTGGCTGGATAACATGGCAAAGGACATACTTTTATGTTCGCATAAATTTACAGTACCATCTTTGAATTTTAAAATAAAGTCATCATGAAACACAACTCGAACACACTTTTATTGATTTCAAGATGATTATACTTTACATTTAAAGATGGTTCTGTAAATTTATGTTGCAAAATATTTCGTTTCTACATAGTATTTAAACTTGTGGTTATGGAAACAAAGATTCAAGAATTGAAACAAATACCAATGTTATGTATGCCTCCGTGAATTTGAGAATTACTAGAATTTGTTCAACACACACATACAAATGTATCTGATGTCTGGAACTAATTTAAAATGGGAGAAAACGTTCTATATTCGATAGAACCTCTTCAAAATAAAACAAAACAGAAAAACAACTTATTAAACAGCAACCATTTTATTCTCGTTAACTATGTCGTGAAATCACGATCTTTATTTCTTTTGTTTTGTTATTTGTACAATAAAGTGTATTTTATGCATAGTTTGCATATGTCAACCAACATATACATGTATTTTTTTAATAGTGTTGATTTGTTTTTTGTGCTTATACTGAATAGTTATTCTAGGTATATACTCAATAGTAATATTTCATTTCAATCTTATGTAAGTCTTACGTAATTATTATATTATTATTTACGTATTATACTCACTTATTTGCTCCTCAGTCTTAGTTCATACTCCACATGAGGTCTTATGTAAGTAATTGTAATACATTAATACTCCACAGTAATAATTTCTTACTCCTCATTGTTTATTATATAATTACAAATTCATGTTTATTTCATGTTTCATGGAATTCTCGAGTTTCTCATGGTCTAAACATTTACTATATAAAGGTTAAGTTCAACTTGCTTTTTGGTAGGACTTCAGTAACATCTTTCATTGGCGAAACAGATATGTTGGATATATAACTTAATTTGGAGTGTAATACAGATATGTTGGATATATAACTTAATTCTATTTGGAGTGTAATATTAGCATTTATTTGTCAATTAAATCTAAATGATATCAAATGTGAAAATTGGATTCAATCTCAGTGTTAATAAATATAGTAAAATTATGATATGTTGTGATTTATTTCAAAAGTACAAAGTGATCTTAAATATCGGTGTGGCAAGGACAAAACAGATTTCAGTCTTATATTCAGAGGATAAAAGTCCACCACATTGAATGGCGCCGGAACCCGGGAACCAACCGGAAAAGGAAAAAAGTATGATTGTATTACACTTTAACGTTGACTAGTATTCACATTAGTTCATAAAGTTAGTTTGTTCATTTAATATGTGAAAGTAAGTTTAAATATTGAAATCTAACTCTACAAAATTGAGTCAAAGAACATTTCTTAAATATGTCTAACTTGAAATCATTAAAAGCTGTGAGAACGAAATATAGAAACATTTTGGATAAAGAAATAACAAATTCAACTGGAATAGTTGGTAGTGATATAACAAAAGTTGACAAAGTTTTGATTTTGCAAGGAGCAAACATGTGTTTAGGATTGTTAAAATCATACAGTGCTAAGTTAGAAGAACAAATGAATAAATTAACAAATGCAATGGGAGAAAATGTCCCAGAAATAACAGAAAAAATTGTTGACGAGGATTGTCATTTAATATTTAAAGCTGAGCAAAGCTCTATTGAGCTTAGCCATTTTGTGGAGTTGGTTCAGAAAGAAAACTCAAAACAGTTTTCTGACACAAACCCAACAGCATTGGAAGATAAAAATGTATTATTCCAGGAACAGTTACAAAAGTTAATGATATCACAACTTGAACAACAAAAGGAGTTTTTTGAAAAACAGAATCAAAAGGAAAACCATGAAGTGTGTTCTGTAAAATTGCCTAAATTGGATTTAATTTCATTTAGTGGTGATAAGATGAAATGGGCATCATTCTGGGATGCGTTCGAATGTACAATTCACAACAATGACAAGCTTTCATGTATTGATAAATTCAACTACCTGATGACCAAACTGTATGGAGAGGCAAGACGTGCCGTAAGTGGATTATCATTATCAAATGAAAACTATACTTTAGCTATTGGTATCCTGAAGGAAAGATTCGGGGATGAGCAAGAGGCTATTGATCTTCATTACCACAAATTAATGAAAATTCCTCCGATTGATAACACACATGAAAATCTTCGAATGTTTCTTGATTCCATTGAAAAACATCTAAGAAGTTTAGAAGTATTGAAAGAAGATATCAATCAACATGTTTTCGTGAGTATGATCAGGTCAAAGTTACCAAAGGAAGTGCTTCGTCAACTTGAACTAATGAAAGGACCAACTGACAAATGGACTGTAGACCTGTTGAGAGAAACACTTCACTCTTATGTCATAGCTTGTGAACATGCACAAATAAACCCTGATGATGAATATAGACGAAAGAATATGAATTCTAACAAAAACCAAGTTAATCGGTATAATCCAAGAGTTAAAAAAATGAACATCGATGAACGCTATCAAAGGTCTACTGCAGAATCGCTTCTGGTTAATCAGAAACAAGTTCAAAATTCTATTAAAAGGGATCATTGTAGATATTGTGATGGAAAACATTATAGTGATGAATGTTTAAAATATAAGACTATAGAAGAGAGAAAAAATCGAATTAAAGGTAGTTGTTTTCGATGTCTTAGAAACAATCATTTGCAAAAGGAATGCAAATGGAACAAGAAGTGCGTTTATTGTGGCGAACATAACATTCACCATCGAAGTCTTTGTCCTAGTAAATTTAAGCATCAATCAGTTGTTGAAAGTGTTAGTCTATCCGAAGAAACTTGTGCTGAAGAAAAAGACATTTCTGAAGTAAATGAAAATGTAATGATATCTGCTGGTGAAATGGTACTTATGCAGACAGCAACTACAGAAGTAAACAATCCAAATGGAAATGGAGCACAAAATATAAGGGTATTGCTGGACTGTGGGTCACAAAGAACGTACATTACACAGAAGCTTGCTGACAATTTGAAATTGAAAGGGACAAAAGAAGAGGAGATAAAATTAGTTACTTTTGGAAGTGATAAAACTACAGTTCTACGAACGAAGACAGCTACTCTTAACATGAAACTAAATGATGGGAAATTCATGCCATTAGTTGTGAACATTGTGCCTGTAATAAGTGGGAATATTCAAAGAAGAAAAATGGATTTAACATCAAGCTCAAATTTAAATCATCTTATTCAAAGTCTTGATCTAGCTGATACCATTTCAACCAAAAATGAGATGACGAGTATCGAGATGTTGATAGGTAATGATTATTACCTTGATATCATTCTATCACAAAAGATGGAAGTTCAACCTGGACTGTATCTTCTTGGATCAAAATTAGGTTGGATTTTATCCGGAAGAACACCTGATAGTGAGAATGGTAAGGACACATCTAGTATGTTAGTTATTACCCATGGAAAGGATATGACAGAAAGTGGTGTATTCCAAAGTGTAGATAGTTCAATTTCTACTAAACTGGATTTACAGGACTTTTGGAATATTGAAGCAATTGGTATAACCGATGACCCAGCAATTTCGGATGACGAAAAAGCTATGCAATCTTTTAAAGAAAACATCAAGTTTGAAGACGGTAGATATCAGGTGACTTGGCCCTGGAAAGAGGAACACCCAGATTTACCTGTAAATAGGGAACTTGCCTATGGAAGATTGAAATCGTGTATAAATAAATTGAAGAACAAACCAGATGTCATGGAAAAGTACAATTCTGTCATACAGGATCAAATAGACAAAGGAATTGTTGAAAAGGTAGATTACTCTACTAAAGACAGTATTCAGCATTATATACCACATCACGCTGTGATAACGCCACAAAAAACAACAACTAAACTTCGTGTTGTATATGACGCCTCCGCAAAAACAAGGCCAGAATATAAAAGTTTGAATGAGTGTTTGTTTAGAGGACCTGTTATGTTGCAAGATCTATGTGGACTTCTCATGAGATTTAGATTAAAAAGGGTTGCCTTAATTTCAGATATTGAGAAAGCTTTCCTTCAGATTGGTTTACAACCAAATCAAAGAGACGTTACACGATTTTTATGGTTGAAGGATACAATCAATCCGTCAGTTTCTCCAAGCAACATACAAGAGTATAGATTTCGTCGCGTCCCCTTTGGAGTTATCTCGAGTCCGTTTCTTCTAGGGGCAACCGTTGAGACACATCTTGATTCATATAAAAGTGATGTAGCACGTAAACTTAAAAACGACATCTACGTTGATAATGTAATTACTGGGTCTGAGAACGAAAGTGAAGCAATACTGTTGTATAAGGAAGCCAAACAAATGTTTACCGATGCTTCAATGAATTTAAGAGAATGGCTTTCAAATAGTGACATAGTCAATGAAATTATTCCAAGAGAAGACAGAGCAGAGCAAAGTGTTATCAGTGTGTTGGGACATATTTGGAACTCGAAAAATGATACAATAGCTGTAAAGCCAATTAAAGTTTTAAACACTAACACAGAGATTTCGAAGCGAAGTATACTAAAAGTGATAGCATCAGTGTTTGACCCGTTGGGCCTCTTTTCACCAATCATTTTGAGGGGGAAACTTCTACTCCAAGATTTGTGGAGCAGAAATCTTGATTGGGACGATCCCGTGGAAGACACTGAAACAAAGTTGTCATGGACTTCTCTACGGCTTGATTTATACAAATTATCAGAATACACACTACCCAGATGTCTAGCTGTGAGTCAAACAGATGAACATATTGAATACCATTTGTTATGTTTTTGTGACGCGTCATCAAAATCCTACTCCGCAGTTGTATACTTACGTCAGGAAAGTAAAGGACTGACAAAAGTTGATCTGATGTTTTCCAAAACACGTTTAACTCCAATAAAAGGCATGACAATACCTCGTTTGGAACTAATGGCAGTATTAATAGGTGTTAGATGTCTGGAGTTTGTGTCAAAGCTAGTTAAATTACCAATCAAAAAACGATATTTGTGGACAGATTCCGTGTGTGTTTTAGGTTGGTTAAACTCCAACAAAGTGTTACCGGTATTTGTTAGAAACAGAGTGAATGAAATACTGCGTTGTGAAGACGTTATCATATCTTATACTAATACAAAACAAAACCCAGCTGATGTAGCTACACGAGGTACAACTATTGAGGATTTGAATAAAAATGAGCAATGGTGGCATGGACCTAGTTGGTTGCTGAATCCTTGTGACTCTTGGTTTTGCTCTCATGGAAAAGAACCATTACTGAAAACCAAAAGTAAAATTCAAGACTTTCACGAATGCGACTTGTTGATCTCTTCTACTACATCAACTGAAACATCAACGAAAGAACTTAGTTCTCCGTTTGAGATAGATGTTAGAGCATATTCTTCAATCACAAAACTGTTTCGTGTTACAGCTCTAGCAAGACGTTTCGTGTATAAACTAAGAAAACAAAAAAGCGAGAGTATACATATCACAGCAAATGAAATAGAAGATGCAGAGAAGATGTGGTTACTGTATATTCAAAAGAAGAATTATCCAGAAGTGTATGAAGGATTTTCAAAAAATAAACCAACAAATATTCAGAAGCAGTTGGGACTATATTTGGATGATTGCGGCATTCTGAGGAGCAAAGGTAGACTTGAAAATGCAAGTCTAAGTGAAGGTGCCAGATGTCCTATCTTACTACCTAAAAAAGACATATTTACCAGATTAGTCGTTGAAAGTGTACATAAACTTTGTCTTCATACTGGCATTTCACAGACTTTAGCAAGTGTTAGACATAAATATTGGATTCCGCAGGGACGAGCTGTGGTACGATCAGTTATCAGTGCATGTACAATTTGTCGAAAGGTTGAAGGGGGTCCATATAAAATGCCAAACATGCCATCGATACCAAAAATGAGAGTCAGTGAGTCCAGTCCATTCACTTATACTGGATTAGACTACCTTGGACCATTTTACATAAAACATACTGGTGAAACAAAGAAAGTATGGATTTGTATATTCACGTGTCTTGTGATTCGAGCAATTCATTTGGAGGTCATTCAAGATATGTCAAGTGAAGAATTTATGTTGTGCTTAAGACGATTTATATCACAGAGAGGCACACCTATTCAAATAATAAGCGACAATGCGTCACAGTTCAAATCAGCAAGCACTGCAATGTACAGAATTTGGAAAAATGTTTTATGCGCTGAAGAAGTTCAAACGTATGTTGCAACTAGGAGTATTAAGTGGTCGTTTAATGTTGAACTTGCACCTTGGATGGGTGGTTTTTACGAGCGACTTGTAGGCATTGTAAAAAGATGTTTTAGGAAAAGTATTGGAAGAAAGTTGTTAACATTAATACAGTTTATCACCTCTATGAAGGAAGTCGAAGCAGTAGTAAACTCCCGACCTCTTGTCTACGTAGGCGATGATATAAATTCTACTATAGCGTTAACACCAAATCACTTTTTGTCGCTTAATCCGTTTACAGGAATTCCAGAAATGTGCAACGATGAAACAGACAACGAAAAGGACGTTGACTACATTCCATATGAAAACACACGTGACAAGTTGTTAGCTTTATGGAAAAAAGGCCAAAATATGTTAAATTCATTTTGGAAAATGTGGAGAGAAGATTATTTAATGAATTTACGTGAACGTATGCAATTTGCATTAAAGACAGGGAAAACAACATCATCATTCAAAGCGAAAGAAGGTGATGTTGTTCTTATTAAGGATAATCTTCCTAGAGGTTGTTGGAGAATAGGAAAAGTGTTAGAGCTTGTTAAAAGTCGTGATGGATATGAACGTTCGGCGAAAGTGGCATTACCGTCTGGAAAAGTACTAGGTAGACCTATAAATCTGCTCTATCCAGTCGAATGTCAGTCTGATGAAAGAAAACAAAAGGCAGAAAGACCGAATAAAATTAATGAAAATTCTAAAGAACAGAAAACGTCAGAAACAAAACGTCCTTCACGTAAAGCAGCAATAAGTGCTAGAGAGAAAATTATAAAAATGATATGATTACAATTTATTACAGACAATTAAGTAATATATTAAAGAAATATGTTTAAAAGTAACATTGGTATTTCTAATCAATGTAAGATATATAAATAATGTGTGTTATAGGTTTATAGTTAAAGCATAACTTTGTGTTAATAAATCAGTGAAATATATGATTGAGGAGCAAATACTTTTAGTTTAAAGCAAACATATTTTCCCGCCAAGCAAGTGTGGAGTAAATAAATATTTTCCCGCCAAAACTGCGTGTGAGGAGCAAACGAAATAGTTGGTCACGATTATCACGTGAATTTCGCCCAAAATGTTACAGATAGTGATTGCGACTGTGGCGGGAAATAAGCACGAGGAAAGTGTGAATAGCGGATTAAAAATCGTCATTATTGAAGTTTTAGTACTGCATTAAACACTATTACATAGTGATAACGCTTTTGTTTGACTCTTATTATTAAAAACTTCATACGTTAAAATGCCTTTCAAGTGTGACATTTGCAACAAGGAGTATGCTTATAAAAGGAATTTAAAAAGGCATTCACTTGAAAAACATATCGGAAACAAAAAATGGAGTTGCAGTGAGAAAATGTGCTCTTCAAAGTTTTCTCGAAGAAGTAACTTAGTAAGGCATTTGTGTCTTACACATAAATACAGTGCAGCCAAAGCACGACGTGTTGCATTGGATACAGATAAAATTAAAAGTAAAAAGACAACTGCAACATGTACATACTATGAAGATGTAAGCTCTGATGAAAGCATTCTGGACTTACATGCAGAGTTAGATGCGATGGAAGAGGAAGAGGCGATACGATATTTCGACTTAGAGCCGTATGAAGAAGATACTGTTGACTACGAAAATGTTATAAAACAACAAATTACTAACATGGACGTGAAAAATGATAGTAATAACACTTTTAGTGAAAATGAAAACGCCAATGACATAAACACCAGAGATGTTGTGAACGAACAAAAATTGAGTGATGATGAATACGTCAATAACTTGGACGTGATAGATGAGGTGAATAATGTTATTTTGATTGATGATGAATATGCAAATGAAAGGTGCAGTAACGATGTTGAAAACGATGTAAGCCTTGACTATGATGATGATGAATACATCGAGGAGGAAGTTGTAGATTATTACACAGATGTGAGTGATAAGAGTGTTGTTGATGAATATTCTGATGATGAAGATGATAATGATGACGATGAATACAGTGAGGAGGAACTTGTTGATAATTATACAGATGTGAGTGATATAAGTGTTGTTGATAAATATTCTGATGATGAAGATGATAGTGATGATGATGTATACGATGATGATAATGAACATGTCAGCGATGATTTGAGTCTGCAGAGCGATGTGAACTCTTGTGACAGTTGTAGTAATGATACATCTTCTGACAAAGACATAATAGTTGTCAGTGAAGATGAGTCAGAGTTGTTTATTGACAGAGATGACAATAGTAAACATGATTCTTTAAGCGATTATGAGGAAGAAGATATCCGAGCGTTAGAGCCATCGCGCATTATAACAAAGTACAAAATACACTCAGTAACTGTAGTCCAGAAGTTTTACTATCTGGACAATGAGTTAGTTGGAATGGCTACAGATGCTGAACAAGACTATCACGAATATACATCAAGGTTATGAACTTTCACTCGGGCGGAGTGTCGTGAAATCACGATCTTTATTTCTTTTGTTTTGTTATTTGTACAATAAAGTGTATTTTATGCATAGTGTGCATATGTCAACCAACATATACATGTATTTCTTTAATAGTGTTGATTTGTTTTTTGTGCTTATACTGAATAGTTATACTAGGTATATACTCAATCGTAATATTTCATTTCAATCTTATGTAAGTCTTACGTGATTATTATATTATTATTATTTACGTATTATACTCACGTATTTTGCTCCTTAGTCTTAGTTCATACTCCACATGAGGTCTTATGTAAGTAATTGTAATACATTAATACTCCACAGTAATAATTTCTTACTCCTCATTGTTTCTTATATAATTACAAATTCATGTTTATTTCATGTTTCATGGAATTCTCGAGTTTCTCATGGTCTTAAACATCACTATATAAAGGTTAGGTTCAACTTGCTTTTGGTAGGACTTCAGTAACATCTTTCATTGGCGAAACAGATATGTTGGATATATAACTTAATTCTATTTGGAGTGTAATACAGATATGTTGGATATATAACTTAATTCTATTTGGAGTGTAATATTAGCATTTATTTGTCAATTAAATCTAAATGATATCAAATGTGAAAATTGGATTCAATCTCAGTGTTAATAAATATAGTAAAATTATGATATGTTGTGATTTATTTCAAAAGTACAAAGTGATCTTAAATATCGGTGTGGCAAGGACAAAACAGATTTCAGTCTTATATTCAGAGGATAAAAGTCCACCACACATTCAAACAATTGTATGACATATTAGAAAAGCCGGTAAAAATATTACATTAGCAATATTCCATATTTGTTTCAATTCTAGGTAAACACTTGTTGTCAAATGTAGAACTTAAGAGATTTAACATTGCTTAAAGCGTATAATTACATGTACCATAAAATGGAACTTTTCAAAAAGTTTTTCACACTCATCCGTTATTTTTTAATAATAAATATAGTGTACACAAAACAGTCAGATTACTACTTTTCACACCAACTAGAAAAAAAACAACAAGTCACGTATGCTGTTTATATTTTCATTATAATATTCACGTAGGGAATGTAGGTATTCGTAGGAACAACACTGAAACCGGTCCTATGTTGATGTATACGTAACAAAAAACACCAGACTAAACTTCGTGTTTGAATTTTAGCAGACATATAAGACAATTTTAACAAAAATAACACGTCAGATGTTAAATAACACAAGTGCTTATAAAAGGATTAATTAATGTTTATACTTTTGATTTTATTTTCTAATTATCCCAGACAAATATGACATCGCGAAAACACTTGACAAATGAACATTTTAGTATCATCTTATAGACAATGTTTACATAGCTTATGTGTTCTTATTTCATGGCCTAATTAGTTTGAAAACCTCTTTTATCTTTACAAACTTGTTTCTCACTTTCATGTTCATGGCCTCGGCCAATTACCTTAATAACTTCGCACCTGTTTGAAATACACACTTGTGGTGTTATTTGCGACTTTCTTCATCGGGTTTTACTCCTCGCTAATATTAAAAACGTAGGCAAAACATTGGTCGACGTTCACCAGTTTCAGTAGCCAAAAAAAGAAAACTATTTGTGGATTTAAAAAAGTTATCGCAAATGGAAACCATGGCGAAATAAATGTATAATGCAAAACATTTCTGTAAAAATGTCTGGGCTTACATTTAACAAAGGTTTTGAGAAACCTTTTAAACATCAATTTTATGATCACAGCGTCAACTGTCTTAACAACATTCAGAGACAACATAAATTAAAAGCCTACGTATTATGATGGTAACACCAATAAAATAATAATTTCAAGAACGGTAAACAATTTAAAATCAGTCTTCCTTTACAAGGTCTACTTTGTTTTTCCTATGTCCTATTAGTCAACCGATTGTTTCACTCGTTATGTTGTTAATTCTAGGAGAACATGTTTTATTACAGATGAAATGGCATCCTTAAGTCAAGTCATTAACATATAAATCATCACATGAAAGGAAATACTCAATGCTTTATTATTTAAATAAGAAATTTTGTCTGATATGAAACGTAGTTGCCTTAATTCTATATCAAATTATTTAAGCATATTGTAATATTTGAAAAGATGTAAAACACAAGTTTGTTTTTTGCAAACGGTTTTTATCTGTTATTTAATTTATTTTATTTGGTTGATTACCTTGTCATGAATCACTTGATCACTTTATCTTAGTTGAAGTATTTGTGAACGCTTATCTTCAACACAATCTAAAGAAAACCCTTGACATATCAGAGCAATAAAACAGAAAAAAGAATAAAATCATTTTACGAGAGATAGTAAAATGTCCAATACCTCTCATTTTCCCCTGACATTCTATAAATGATCTCATAGTACACAAAAGCTCAAATAATGGATATTTCACGAAACAGCAATATAACCAAAATTTTTATAAATTTTGACCTTTTGTTATCCATTACAAATTTGCATTCAACCTAATTAACATATATAAACAGTTTAAAATTTGCACATACAAATACATAAATACTATTCACATATGTCATTGTGCAAAAAACCTTCATTTTCAAATAAAACGTTTTTTGTTAACATTTACAAGTGAACATTAGATTTCAAAACTTTAAATTAGAAATAACTATTTTTTTTTTAATTGGTGTAATGTCGATACAATGTTGACTTTTTTAATAAAAAGTTACTATTGCCTAACAATGTGCTTTAAGTAAAATGCGCCAGCTTAAACAGTATATAAACACGGTATGGTATTATCTAAAGCATGTTACAATATTTTAATTTATTACAAGTAGATGCATCGTCTCTGTGGCGCAATCGGTTAGCGCGTTCGGCTGTTAACCGAAAGGTTGGTGGTTCAAGCCCACCCAGGGACGTTAATATTTTTTAATAGGTTGAACTATTAATTGCAAATATTGTCACCGTTTATCAACGGTATTTCCTCAAAACAAAAGAAATTAACTGCATCTTAGATTGCTTTTCCATATTTATGTAATAATTAATGTAATTTATAATGGAAATCAAATAAGTGAGGTTGCTACTTTTATATCAACCATATGCAGTAGATAACTGACAAATACCTAACTCAATAGTTAGCATGAAATCCAGAGAAAGTCTACTTTTGCACAATATAAGAAGTAAAAGGTATTACTTTATCCTAAATAAATACTTAGGATAACTGGCAACCTAGCAGCCTGAATTTGGCAGCCTAGCAGCTTAAAGAAAACTAAGAATATTACAAACATGAAAACCGTCGGAAATACATCAATAGCACTTCCTTAGATCATTCCACACCTTTTTGCAATATCGTGATCTTTATTTTTTTAGATGTTGAACTTTATCTTAACATATTTTTTTTTCATTCTGACGCTTCGAAACTTGTGAAGTTAGTAACCTAGCAGTCTGGCAGCTTAGCAGCCTAAAGAAAACGAAGGATAGTACAAACATGAAAACCGTCGGAAATGAATCGATAGCGCATACTTTGACCATTCCACGTCTTATTTCAATATCGGGATCCTTATCTAAAAACAAGCGCGATCACAGAAAGCATATAAACAACCGTCATCTGATTGGTCGGGTTTTTTTCGGAAATTTACGGGTATATTTTCGGGAAATAAATCGACCAATCAAATTACGGTTGTTTATATTCGTCAAGATGGCGGTTTTTTTATAGAAATTTCAACGGGGAAATATTTTGAAGCCGCAGATGAGTTTATATCACATTGTCATTATAGATAATTGGTATATTTTGATTACTTTTATGTATTTTTAATTGCCCAGCATGATAAATGCTTGTGATATTATCTCTAACGCTTGCAACAGTCGTGTAACTTTATGTTTCCTGCGTAGCCACGATCGATGTCGACCTCGCGAAAATGAACGTTTTTTTTGTTACTTTGACGGCCAGTAGTCGTTAAGTGTAAGAGATATAAGAAACGTTTTACATTGGTTCGATAGATAAAGCATTCGACTACATATTGCATGATTCCTTTTTATTTATGCTGTATCGTGTAAAAAATACTGCGAGGCAAAAGCCCTGATTGGGCATAGGCACCTTCTTATGGGAGTTGTTACCCTTGTCTATATATTAGTATACATGTATAGTGTAATGGGAATGGACTTAGAATTCATTTCTGACTGAGGATAAATGTTGTCTACCATCAAATACATATTTTGTGAACATTCAATGAGCCGTACCCCTTTGGTTCGAGGCAACTTATTAAAGCTCCCATACGACAATTGACACCTGCTATTGCAAAGTATAAAATACATATTGACTTATTTATGTAGCAATGGGAGATAAATATTTAACCAAAAAAAATATCGACAGCAAGGAAACTTACATTAAATAAAACAAAAAAGCATATACATTTATATGTCAAAAACACATGGTTCGACCGATACCATCGAATGAATGATGCCACAAATTCTCTGTAGAATGTGTCGAGATTGTAATCTTACATAATAAATTTGAGAAACATTTCAAATATAAATTTTACTACCATCATAGCTTTTACTGAGAATATCTATGAGACAACATTCTGAGAGGACGATGAACAGAACTTTTCTGCAAAATGTAATGTTTTGTGTGTACCAGGTTATGAGTGTTGGAATATGAACACAAATTTTCAACAAGAAAGGGTGGCTTCACCATAAACAAACGCTGCAACAGAGGGACACCGGCATGGAGCCCAATAGGATACGGAAAACTATATTAATCTTACTGTACGGGATGCAATTAATACGCATTATAACATAGAGCAAAATGACAAAATTTAACATGTTGCAGGCTTGGTTTGATTGAGCCTGTTCATGGACGGTAGTAGTACTGAAAAGTTACCGTCCTGGAACTAAGCAGAATTCAACATTTAAACATGAACATGGGGAAAATTTGAGTTTAGAAACATCCGCTCATACAACGTTTATCATGGAACCTTTAATGTGACTCTTTCGTGCCATTCCATGAATT